GCATAATACATACTTGGTAGCATTCATTTTCCCGATATACCTATTAATATATTTTGTCGTTTATTATTCTTAGCTACGTCACATAATATTTGTACAGAGTTGTGTTCGACGTTGGCTGGCAATGAAGCATTATAGAGAAGCTTTGTTGGCTAAGCAAATGTCATGGGGAGTATTAACATTACAGAAACATACTAGAGGATGGCTTGCACGACAAAAGAAAAAAAAGTCAAAAGGAGAAATACCTGTTGGTGAAGTAGCCCCAATATACAGACAAGAACCCAAAGAAAATGATGGTCCAATCAAAAATCAAAATAAAGTCAGTCCTGTTATTGTGGCAGAAAATAAAAAAACCTATATCCAAGTAAGCAGTGCAAATATTGTAAATTTAGTTAGTTGTTACATTATTCATGTGTTTTCAGCAAAATGGTGTTAAGGTGTTGCCGTGTAAAGTTCAACAAAAAGTAGAAAGAGAAAAACATTTGATTGATTTCTCAAAAAATGTAAGTATTTGTTATTGAAAGTATTATGGTTAACATTTATTATTTTATAATATGTCGTGACTAATAAAAGGTTCACGCTCGCAACAAAGAATTCTACAAGTTCATTAAGAAAACAAATATTTCTATTTGTTTGAACAATTTGAAAGATTTTAATACAACTGGTCAGGTACGCTCTTGTACAATTTGATAATTCCATTAGATGCATTTCACGCATGTAGTATGTGCGCAATTAGAAAAGTAGACTTCAAGTTATTCATAACAAATAACAATTGTATTGGCTATTTTTTAAGACTTAAAATAATTTGATAATTGAGGTAATAATTTTTATACTCATAATAAAAAGAGTTAATGTAAATGTGTGTTTGAAAGGGAGATTTAAATCTTAAATTTTAAAGACTTAATTGACATTTAAATTGATAAAATATGCATTGATATTACTATATTAAACTTATAGATGTGGAATTGTATAAAAGTTTGTAAGCCAACACAATTGATCATTATTACTTTCTATTTTACTTATTCAATTATTAGTTTCTTTATTGTTCATAAGTTTATATGTAAATGAGAACTATTATTTTTCTCTTTGTTATATTGACTTAAAAATGTATTTAGTGAAAATAGGAATATCCATTTATTTAAAACATACTATTTAATGTGATACTAATAAAACCAAAACATTTTTTTTTTTTTTTATATATTATTTATCTTGAGAATTTATGTTTCTATATATTATTGTGTTAATTTTGTTTGTAAAGGTACTATAAGAATATTTTAAACACCTGACTGTATTTCTATTTCATAAAATATTTATTTTTTATTTCCCATTCATAATTTTTTATAATGATTATATTTTGGATTTATACTTTTAATTGATTTTATTACCCATTATTTCCTGACTGTATGAAATAAAATAAATGAATAAAATATTCATTAGGTTATTATCTAATATACATTACAAATTCTTGGAATATCTTATATTATTGATTTAATAATTAAATAATTATCTTTCTTTTACAGAAGGGTTTGGTGCATAATGCCATTAAAAAGCTTGTGAATGAAAATTATTGTAAATTTGATTCTGAAAACAGGTAAAATAATTATCAAGCAGTTTAATTAGTTAACTTTATTTTTTATTTTTGAATTTCAATGTATTTTAGGATGAGCTCAATAACTGCTAAAACAAATAACATCCAACCAGTAAATAAACCAAAATGGGTCTCTCCATTAAGGTAAGTTAATATTGTGTAATAACAAGAAGGCATTAAGTTATTTGTATAATATTTATAAAATAATAATGATATTGATTTTTTCCCTTATTTATACTTTAAGATTAAATCCTCCAGACATTAATAGACTGCCAGAAGGGTTTGACTTCAGACAACTATTGAGGCCTACCCAACATGCACCCACTGAATCCTTACGTAAAAGATTGGTACAGAGATCTAGACCTGTAGCAGCCAACGCCAAAGGATAACATAATAAAATTTAAGTTTGCTATTTTTTATAAACAGTATTTACAATTTTTGTAATGGTTAAATTTATTTAATATTTATATATTTATTATCTGAAAACAAAAATAATTTGAGCTCAAAATGAGTTGACCAAATATGGAAGAAAATAATTGTTTTTTATTTTATTTTTTATCTTATAGACAAAAATATATATATTTTTATAGTTCCTGTTAAGTCCAACAAATCGAACCAAAAATATGTATTTTATTTAAAAAATTAATGGATTTTGTCTATTATTAAGATTTATTTGTAAGATTTTTTTTAGTATTTCAACAATGTTCCTTAAGAAACTTTGGTGTTTCTGAAATTCTTAAAAGGGCCCAGTATAGAATAATTGTGAATCACTTATTAACTATGCATTTCATATTATTGTATACATTTACCTATATATTTTTCATACCATCTATTATTAGTCAATTAGGATGTTCAGTGTTATAATGAAGTGTGATCTATCTTATATAACATTCTTATTATGACAAAACATAGGTGTGTTGTTGTTATTAAAGATATTTTATATTTTTAATGTATTTATTATATAAATTTTATGGTATCAAAATAAAAAAAATTGTTTTTATTATTATAAAATAACATTATATTTATATTTTTTTTATGTATAGTTTATATTTAAACATGCAATTAAAGTGATATTGTTAAATTTTAATTAAATTGATTATTTTCTTGATAGTTTATTGTATTGTAATAACTTATTACTAATAAGTTTTATTTCAACAGGTATCTAATGCTATTTTTAATTTTCACTTACAAAACTTTAATTAAAAAAAAAAAATACATAAATTAAATTACTTGAAAGAAGAGAGGGTAATGATATATTTATTTGATTTTATGAATTACTTAATTCTCAAATCATATATACTAAATTAATAATCCAGATATATTGAAAAGTTAAAAACCAAATTAAATATCATACATGTAATTTCAAAAGATCCAAGTATCTGACCATATATTTTAATTAAAATCGTTTGTATGGTATATCTAAGCATGGAATGGTAAAAAAACAATATTTGAAATTTGAATACCTTTATATGTGTTATCTATCGTAGAATATTAATCAAAAGTCATAATATTCTAGTACAGTAATTAATATTCTTAAACATGTTAAACAGTATTATCCTGATAATAAAAAATAATATTCTAAATAGCAAAACAAATTATATACATAACAACATTTAAATAAAAAAAATAAAAATAGCAAGATGTGTTGGGTTGGTATTAGTAATAAAAAGTACTGAAAATATCAAACATTTGATTAAATTGACAACTATAATCATGTCAGACAAGTGGACTTGCATTCAGTAAAAAGCAAGTACGATTTTGAAAATATATTTAATAAGTTATTTCTATATAAGTAAAATCCATTTTATGTTGTTAACTTTAATATTGAAGAAAATTTATCCATTTTCAAACTTTAAGCTAAGAATATTATCTAGCCCATCTCATTGGATTTTATTGATATTATCATTATTCATTTTAAAGTAAATTATATTTGTAAAATATTACAACTTTAAAATATTCATAGCTCACAGGAGTGAAGTGATCCACCGAGATACGGGAAAAAATCCCAGTGGCTTGGAAAGTGAATGGCCCATTGGCCTGAAAAGTATAGATAGAAAAAAATTTTTATTTTATTCGAGAGATGAAGATATTGAATGGCCAAGAGGAAATTTATTTTCCTGGCTTGAATTTTTTTCCCACTCCACCCTTGATAACTCTGGAGACATCGCAGATGTGGGTATGTATTATCTAAACAACACCATGGGATTAGTTGAAGATAATCAAATCTGTTTTAATAGTAAAACCATCTGGTACTTAGCATCACGATGAAAAAAGAAATTGCATTTTATCATAATAAAATATTAAAAATATAAATAATTGAGAATGAAATAAGAAGTAAATATTAATTTAACAGGGTCATGATTTAGAGGTTAACAATATGTAATCAGAAAGTAATTTGTTGCATTTTATTATTGAAAATGTGCCATACTTATCTCAATGTCTGTTGACAAAAGTAATAACTTATAGTTAATTCATCTAGAAGAATGTCAGATGTCTGGGCAATACTTTTTAATTACTTACACACAAAACACAAAATATAGTTTACAATAAGCTGCACAATTTATTTATGATTTTAACTAAATATTATTATGTATTACTTTATGCCTTTTTTCGTGTAGGTAGGTAATGAATAATTATTGTTCTTAAATGTTGAATGTTCTTATTGTTTTCAATCTTTAGTAATTGAATAATTATATTAGGAAATATAACTGTTAAAATCAAAACCCTACTGGCATTAGTATTATAAGATATTTTGAAAATTATAATTTAAATTCAATACTATTAATAAATAAATAATAATTTAAATTATACAAAACATTAAACGTTAGTAAATGGTTGTCAATTATTAGTAACAACTAACAATTAATTAAGCAAATTGACACTGGAAAAAATGTAGATAGTAGATACAGCGATGGGAAATAAAATGTTTTCCAAAAATAAAAATAATTATTTATAAATAAAATGTAAATATTTATTTTAATATTACCTAAATTTGCCTAATACCAATACGTTTAGTAAAAATTGCAACTTGATATAACTGAAATCGACCAATCTCTTATCAGTGGTATGAGCGCTATCTTATGCACAAGTTAGACATTTTTTCGTAGAAGGTAAAACACGAACTACTACATTACTACAAGCTGCACTTAAACATAAAAAAGAAGGGCATACTATCTACGTTATGTATATTTGCCGTGAACAATAAAATTATGAAGAAATCGTGTGTGATTATATAATTTTTTACTTCATTACAATTAAATATGAATTATGTCTAAAGTGGTTCCACGTAATCGCTTGCGGACGCGTTCAGTAAACCCGCCACTCTTATCACCAGTGAACAACAACTAGCCTGTGATTTGTGAATGTGACGTGTCTATGCTACAAAGAGATAAAGAAATAATAATCTATGGTCTACGCACACGCACGTCACGCACACAAATGCGAGAAAATAGATAGCGCAAAACGGAGTCCAAAATCCTAATCGGCAATCGTAACAATAATTTATGTCGCGACAAACGAAATAGGCCATTTACGAATATTACAGTAGTCGGTATTTAGTATTTACTGTTTAATGACGTTGCCGCAAAAAATATCTCCGTCATTATTGTACATTATTTTAACTCGACATTAAACAACGGTCACCGAAATCGTCGTCGTCCGTAGGCACTTGCTGTACGCGCGGAGCTCTGATACGTTTGATCTAACGTACCATCGTCAATTGTTCGCGCTCCGTGTACTCGTATGACCGTGTAGACGTTGACATCCGCCGACGTGTTTTCGTACAGTATTCCGGGAAACAGAAAATTGCCACATCCCTTCGTCATTATCATCGTGACGGAACGGAGATAATACGGTTTAGGTAGCGGACGGTGCGTGTAAATTTCGAGTACAGGCATGTTGTGATATATATTCGAGTGGTTGGTGGACGGATACGGTGTTTTGCTTACGTGATTAGATTTTTTCTATTCTCTCCTTTCTGGTGACCAAGGAACCTTGAGCTACATACCGAGTTGACAAACTGTGTCAAGTTCATATGCCCTGGACGTTTTTCAGGTTTACGATTTAAATCTTGGCTTCACCATGGAACACAGATACAACTATTTCCAGCAAAACCGTAAGTGTACTTATCCGATGTTACGAAACTTATAGTAAAGCCATAATGCCTTCTGCTATTTGGCGTTGAGCTCATTAAATCAAAACTTATTTTTTTTTACACAGCCAATTCTCTTGTTAATGGACAGCCAGCGTTTAACCGACCGTCTGCTGATGGGATTCAATCAACCAATAATTACTCAGGTAATTATTATCGTTAAATAATTTTATACCTTCCTAGTGTCTATGTAGCCAATTTTTTGTTATACATATTAAAAATTTTAATTGCATTACAACTTATATCTAATATAGTGTAGGTAATAATTAAATAATATACTAAATACCTAAATATGCTCTTTCTCATTGTAATTTGATATGATTGTTAAGTATACACATCATAGCTTTGCAAATAAAAAATTTTACTTTCAATTTATTCTTATCACTTATCAAGGACAAATTTCCAAAAAATGTTTTGAACATTGAATATATTTTAAATTGTTTTTGTCTACTTTCTAATTTTTTTTTTAATTAAGCTAATAATAATAGTACAATACCATAATTTTCAAATAATTAATTTGGTAGATTCTAAATTTATAATTTTAAAATTAATACTTAGATATTTTTATTTTTTATTTTATTTTATTTTATTGACATCACTTAAATTAATTATTTTTATTAAATATGTAATGAATTAAATATTTACCTGGGTTTTTAATTAAATCAATTATAAGGTACATAACCATATATTTATTTATTAATACCTATATAAGTATTTAAATATCCACAGTGTATTTAATTACTTTTAACTAGAAATTAAGCAAATTATTCAATAATAAATGTACCATAATAATTATAATTTTATAAAAAGAATAACTAAAATAATATGTCTATTTTAATTTTAATACATTTTTAATCAACATACACTTTATTTTGACTATTTTGCATATCCATGATCTTTAATTTTAATATAAGTATATTAATTAATATTGACAATTATTAAATAAAAGTTATACCTATGTATTATATTTTGATAACCTATCAAAATTATGAATACATAATACAATTTTTGATTTAGATAACAAGTACCTGTTTAGTTTACCATCAATTATATATGAAACATTTATATTTTGTTCTGTGAGTTTTCTTATATGCAATAACTTATATTAAATAAATGTTTATAATTCTAGGAAGCATACCATCCACTTCTCCTTCAAATCAATCACCATTTCATGAAAAAATGCATTCAAATCCTAATAAAGTTCCATTGATGAATAATCATTTATATCAAATGGATTCTGCTAATCAACCACCACGTTCATCTGGGCCACCTAGGACTAATGCTAAAGGAATTTATGAAAATACTCAGTCTTCAATCTCAGTGAGTAGATTTATCTATTTGAATTTAAACTGATTTTAACTTAATAAATAAGTGCATAAATGAATAATGTCATATTAAGCATTTTTTTTTTTTTTTATTAAATACATTTTAATAAATTTTAACCATTAGGTAATAATATTATCTCTATGAATTATTCAAATTTTCTAAAGGTGAAAAATATACGTCAAACTATTATTTTTAAATTTTAAATTTTACTAACTTAAATAAAACACCGTCTTAAATCTATAAATTAAATAACAAATATTTAAATTTAAAATTAGTAAGAAACTATTTAAAATATCCAGGTTATCCGAATAGTATTGGAATCCAAATATTAGTGATATCACTACTAGGTAATCTTTATGAATAGTGGAATAGAATTATTTATTTTCCTAGTTCTTAGCCTCAGGGTTTTATGATCCTGGCTAGTTTAATATATTTAATATTTTATGCATATTAAATAAACTCTCAGTTGATGTACTATTAAGGTATCCTAAAGTATTTATATTAAATTTTAAAAGTAATAGTTGATTTATAATAATAGTTTGATATAATTTTTTTGATCATAAGGTTGTTAAATTCTGTTTACATTAATTTTAAAATTATTAAAAAAGAACTATGTTTAACTATTTATCTTAGTTAATTAAAAATTAAAATTAGTTAGCTAAAATTAAATTGATTGAACTAAACATAAATTTATGATGAACTTATGGCATTTTGTTATTTATTGTAATATTTTATTCTTAGGTTCAGTTTCATTTATATCTAAAAAATTTTTTATTTCAGAATGTTTTAAGTCTTACTCAATCAAATAATGCTGACAACTATACAATAAATCCAGACTTTCAGCTTCAACCTCATCTTACTGCTTTGTTACCACAGCAATCTAAAAAAGTACCAGAATTGTATCCAGTAGGTAAATACAATACTAGTAAAGGATCCATAGCAGAAAATATGAATACAAATTATTTTTCTTCAAATAAACCTTATCCTGAGCCCAAAATTATTGAGTATGATTTGGAAGAAACATCTACTGAAAGTTCACCTCAACATACTTCTTCATTATACTCTGAAAGTACAGATCAAGATTCAGAAAGTACACATCCGAATAATATATTTCCTAGGCATATATTGAATAAAAGTACTGAGTGTCATGTTACGAAGGAATCAAAAACAATTTCAACTCCAAATCAAGAGTTTCCTGTACCTAGCCAATTTGCTGATTTTAATCTTGAGAAAAATGATAGTGTTGATGATCACCAACATTCCATCTTACATAGTGCTTATAATCAAGATGATGAAATTATCGAAGACATTCCTTTATTTGATAATATTAATCCAAATGAAATAGAACCTGGCTTAGAAAATCAAGAAAATATTGAATCTCATTTTAATGAACAAAGTTCAAACATGCCAAGAGCTCAAACATTTGGATCGTATGCTACTAAAGAAAATTTTGAACAGACAAAATATAACTATGAAAATAAACAAAGTTTATCTTCTTCTGTTTATAGTAACACGAATAACTACTCGTCTTATTATGATGATAAATCTTCAAACGCTCAAAATTCTTCTCAGATTAATAAAGAATTATATTTTAATCAAGCAAATGCTTTGACTCAGCCTAGTTCATCAAATAGTTCAATTTTACAACACTCACAAAGAAAAGCAATATTTCCTTATGACAATACCGAACTGTTTAAAGATCATCACGTATCATCAAGTATTCAAAATTATAATGATGATTTTAACTCAGAAAATTTTAATCAACAAAACAAATACATTCAACACGATATTCAAAAATCAAATGTTCCTCCAGTTGATTCTGTATTACAATACAATATTAATAGTAATACACAAGATAAAATAGTTTTAAAAAATGATGAAATAAAAACTTCAAGTGTTGATGCATTAAAAAACCAGACTATGAATTCTTGTGCTACTAATTTGTATAATCAACAAAATGAACAGGTTATTGAATCTATTAGCCAGCAATCAATGTACAATTCTTCAAAACCGCCTGCATCTGAATTGTTGAATAATAGTCAACCTACAATTAGCAAAGAGTTTATAGCTCACAGTTCATCATTAATATCTACTCAGTCTTTTGGTTCGGCGAATTCAGCTACCATTGCAGCTCCTTTAAGTTCATTTTCTGTATCTGAAGGAGAAGTTCAAGATAACCAGAATACACAACATCAAAAATCTGATGATCAGGGTAGTAATTTATCAAATTTATCTAATATTGCTAAAAATAGTCCAACTATTTTGTTAAATCAGGACTCAACAAAAGTTGTACAATCTGAGATTGATACTAAACTTTCACAATCTCCAATTAGTAGCATACTTGAAAATCAACAAGAAACAACAGATGATCAAATTAAACTCAAAAATATGCAGTTAAACGAAAATCAACACGATGAAGTAAAATCAATGTCTCTACCATCTATTTCTTATGTTACTCAGCCTAATGATTTATTTAATCATAAGAGTATGACTTCTCAACTAGAAACAAAAAATCAATTTATACCTCAACAATCTATAATTGATGATAATATAAAATTTTCTAATAAACCTTTAAATGTTGGTTCCCAATCAGTTAATAACCAAAATGTGACTGTACAACAATCTGTACCAACTACAAGTCACAGTGTTAGCCATTATTTTGATTCATCAAATATAAATAATACATTTTTATTTAATCAACAGTCATCTAATTTGCAATCTAGTAGTCTATTACAAAATATACACACACAGGATAAACCTATTGTTTCAAATATTCCGACTTCAGATAAATCAAACAATTGTACAGTATTTTCTAATGCACAAAATACCTCAATAAAGTTGTCTTCAAATCAGCAACCATTGTTGAAGAAAAGTGAATCAGAAATAGCTGAAAGCTTAAAATTAGATTCTGATCTGTCATCAAAGGAAAATTTACATTTTTCAGAATCTTTTTCAGCTCAATCAAATAATTTGAATTTTGAGTCATTAGAAAATAATGAAATTTTAATACCCAATGATCAATTTTCCAACATGGCTATTGATAAGCAACAAATTATATCTGATAATAAAATTCATATTCAGGAACAATCAACACCTACTTCTTACTTTACAAAAGACATATCTCTTGATAAAGAAGAACATCCTATTGAATTTAAAAACGTTTCTACTACATTACTAGACAATAACAGTTCAGAGCCTAATTTAGAAGTCGTTAACAAATTCCAATCAATACAAAGTAAACAAACAGATTTAGCATCATTAAATTCAGATTTACCAATAAACCATGAGGTTTCTCCACTGTCAATAAGTAATCAAATTATACCAGATAATAAGGTAGTTGGTCAACTAGAAGCTAATCAATTTCCTTCACAATATTTTAGTAATAAAGTAACATCAAATGAAATTTTATCATCATCTAATCAGTTACCAACACAAATATTCAACAATCAACCAAAGTTGAATACTATACAACCACTTCAATCAGCTTCAAGTCCGTATACAACACAACCGTTTATTAATCAACCAACATTAAATATTGTTTCTTCAGCACCTAATCAGTTACCACAAAAAACGTTTGATAATCAACCAAAACTTAATACTATACAGCCTCTTCAGTCTGCTTCAAATTTGTATACAACACAACCATTTGATAATCAACAAACCCCAACAACAATTCCATCAGTTTCAAATCAATTACCATCACAAATATTCAGTAATCAACCAAAACCTGATATTATACAGCCTCTTCAATCTGCATCAAATCCATGTACAACAAAACAATTTATTAATCAACAAACTACAACATCAATTTCATCAGTGTCAAATCAATTTCCACCACAAATGTTCAATAATCAACAAACATCTAATAGTGTACCCCCTCCTCAGTTTGTATCCAGTTCATATCCAACACCAATTGTTTCAACGTCAACTAATTTGACATCTACAATGTTTAGTAATCAACTAGTATCTAATAATGTATCACCCCCTCAATTCACATCAAGCTCATATCCAACTCCAACTGCTTCAACAGCCACTAATCAATTGCCACCAACATTGTTTAGTAATCAATCAACATCAAATACTATACCTCTTCAGTCTGCATCAAATTTGTATCCAACACAAGCGTTTAGTAACCAGTCAAACCCAATTATTGTACCATCATCAGGTATTAATCAATTTCCTCCTCAAATTTTTGATAAACAACCAAAATCAGTAGTTATGTCACATAATCAAACCGTAGCAAAGGCGCTTGTAAATCAACCTGTGAGTTCAGCATGGCCTTCACCAGCTACTAATCAATTTCAACCACAAATATTTAATGGTCCAATTAAATCGGAAGCCTCTTCTTTTCAAACATTATCTAATCAGTATGCGTCACAACCATTCAATAACAAGACAATATCTAATATGATTCCACCTATTCCTTCAGCAGCAAGTCAGTTACCTTCACAAATTTTAAATAATCAACCTAAATCAAATGTTGGTCCTATTCAATCAACAAATGATCAGTATTTATTCAAGCCATTTAATAACCAACATACACCAACTACCGTTTCATCAGCTGTTAACCACCAGTTACCAACACAGCTGTTCAGTAATCAACCTAAATCAAATGTTGTCACTCCTCTTCAAACAACATCAAGCCAGTATAATTTACAAGCACCCAATAACCAACAAACATCAAATTTTATTCCACCGGTTTCAACTCCTCAAATATCTACTAATCAACCTAGATTAGACGGTGGTTCATCTAATAAACTATCCAGTCAATATCAGTCTCAACCACTCATTAACCAATCTATATCGAGTGTTCCACCAATCCAACAAACAATTAATCAATATCCATCACAACCATTCAGTCATCAACCTAAACCAAGCAATTTCCCAACTTCTCAAACAGTCAAAAATCAATATCCTTCACAACCGTTTACTAAACAATCGGGTCAACAAGTATTATCAAAACAAAATCTTCAACAGACTTCAAGTTATCAGTCTTTTAATCAATCAAATTCAATTCAACCAGTCCAAAATCAGTGGCCACCAGCTAATTTTTCATGTCAAACTACTAACCCAATGCCGATGAACACATCTTCTAATTTGTCTACTATGCCTCCCAATGTTAATCAACAAAGTCAAATGCTTGGTACTCATATGTTGCCACCAAATCCATTGTCTTCAAATAATTACTACAATCAAGTTGAAGGAATTGGAAATGTCCAACAGCCTCAGTCTTCAAATCCCAATTTACAGTTAGCATCCAAAGGATATCCACCACAAAATAACACGGGTTTTTCTAGTCAAACTAATTATCAGCAACCAAATGCTCTTCTTAGACAACAAGGATTTAATAATCAACAACAAGAACAGTATAGACCAGAACTGAATTCTTCAGTTGTACAACAAGGTTTTTCTAAGACATGGGTAAGTTTCTTTATGTGTACATATCACATTCACTGTTTATATTTCTTTAACTATTATCACCATTCATCAGATAATTTGATTTACTATTCAATTTTAACAATTTTAAAAAGCTGCATAAATATGCAATAAATATATTAGCTATAAATAATATAGCTAATATGTATGTAGTTATATCTAAGTGCTATTATCAACTTATGCATGCAAAAATTGTAAATTATGATATAGTCAAAATTAAACATTGTAGCTACAATAATTGCATTTATTTAAAAGGGATATGACAATTTGGACTTGTTGAAATCAAGGGATGTACTGCCAGGTGACGGAGTTCAACCCCCAGAGATTAAACTTCCTCAAGGATATGCTAATTGTGATAATTGTTCTCCTGAGTATGATATTGAATTTTTGAATTTAAATTTAAATTATATATAATTTATTTACTATTATATCAATTTGATTTAGTATATTCCGATGTACATTAAATAAGTTTCCAGCTTCAAAGAATTTGCTAGACAAGAGTCGATTGCCACTAGGGATTTTAATACATCCTTATAAAGATCTTTCAGTAAGTAGACTTCACTTTTTGTTTATCTAAAATTAATTGTATTCTTTTTCAATTGATTTATTTTCAGCGTTTAACTGTGATACAATGTGAAACTATTACAAGATGTCGAAACTGTCGTTCATATATAAATCCATTTGTTCAATTTATCGATAATGCCCATTGGAAATGTAATTTATGTTATAGAGTTAATGAATGTAAGTAAAATGTTAATATTTAATATAATAGATTTAAGTAAATTTACTATTTAGTATATTATATCTAATCTGAAATGCCAATGCAAATCCACTTTTTATTTTTCCTTTAAGTATTTTTAGTTATCATTCTATATTTTTTTGTATTTTAAATGTTGTTATGTAATTAAATAAAAATGTATGTTGTAACTTAAATGTAAAAAGGTAATACCCATTAAAATATAAATGAATAAATCTATTATTTGTAGTACCTGGGGAGTTTCAAATTGATCCGTATACTAAAACACTTGGTGATCCTTCGAGAAGGCCAGAAATACAAAATGCCACTATTGAATACATAGCTTCACAAGATTATATGGTGAGTAATGTACTTAATAATACGTAATACTTCAATATATTAATATATCATTCTATCTATTACTTTAGGTTAGACCTCCACAACCAGCTTTATATCTATTCCTTTTAGACGTATCACGAACTGCAACTTTAACTGGATATTTAGAAATAGTTTGTGATCGAATTTTGAATAAAATTATGGCAGATGACATACCTGGTGATTCCCGAACTAACATAGGTTTCATCACGTATGATTCGTCTGTTCATTTTTATCAAATAGCAAATAGTGATGGAGGACAGCCAAAACAACTTATTGTTAGTGATATATCTGGTAAGCAATAAAATAAATCTTTTCCTAGAATTTAGATTTTTTGAACTATTTGTATTATTTATTTTTAGATATATTTTTACCATTACCTGATGGTCTTATGGTGAATTTGGAAGAAAATAAAATGGCTATAAAAGATTTGCTAACTAGTTTACCAAATAATTATAAAGAGTCTTATAATACCGGTTGTGCCTTAGGAGCTGCACTTCAGGCAGCTTTTAAAATATTAGCTCCACGCGGAGGTCGTGTTACAGTGTTCCAAGCTAGTTTACCAAATTGTGGGCCTGGTAGTTTAGAACCAAGAGACGATGGAAACCCCCACACTGGTGATCGTGTTCAACATATGGCTCCATCTACTGACTTCTATAAAAAACTAGCACTTGAATGTAGCGGTGAACAGATTGCTGTTGATATGTTTTTCGTATCGTCACAATATTTAGATATTGCCACTATTTGTAAGTAAATACAACATTCAATTAATATATTTTTTTAATTATTTGAATTTTATTATTTTTAGCTGGAATATCAAAATACTCATCTGGATGCATACATAATTTCCCTCAATTTAATGTTAAATCTCCAACTACAGTGACACGCTTTATAAATTGTTTTGATCGATATCTATCTCGTAAAATTGGTTTTGAAGCTCTTTTGAGACTACGCTGTACACGAGGTGTGGCTATACACTCTTTCCATGGAAATTTCTTTGTTCGCTCTTCTGATTTACTCATGTTACCCAATGTTAATCCTGACAATGCGTATGGTATGCAGTTATCTATTGAAGATAGTTTGGATGGTGTTTCTGTTGTTTGTTTCCAGGCAGCATTACTTTATACTTCTAGCAATGGTAAAATTTAATCTATCTAAATTAATTTAACTTTTTTATTTTATAAAAGTTTTTATGTTACAGCGGAACGTCGTATTCGTGTTCATACACTATGCATACCAGTTACTGAAAATTTAGATGATGTTTTTCATAATGCTGATCAACAAGCAATAACATGTTTGATAGCTAAAATGGGTAAGGAAATCAAGAAAGAAAAAATAACATCTATCAATTTAAATGTTATTATACTTATAAACTGTGTTTTGTTAAGCTGTTGACCGAAGTACAGAAAAATCATTATCTGATGCACGTGAAGCATTTTTCAATGCCATCTCAGATTCTTTGTCTGCATACAAACTTGGTTGCTCATCGTATACTGGTCCTGGAACAATGTTGTCACCACTGTCATTAAAAGTATTCCCATTGTATATTCTAGCTACATTAAAACATGTAAGTTTATTCATTTAATGGTTTAAAAAATGGTTCATTTAATATATATTAGAACAGTCTAGTTTTAATAACTCAAATCTCAAGGAGAATACAAATTAATTTGACTATATATTTTAACTCGTATTTATTTTCTTATAAATAACTTATTAATATCACTTCAAAGGTAGTCGCGGATTCAACCTACTTAAACGAAAGGGGCAGATTATAAATAGGTATTCATATTTAGATATCTATCTACTGGTAAATAAAAGTATATTTATAAATTACAATGAGTATTTATTTTTTTCATTAACTGCATTGTTTCTTTGTTCAATTACTTCAGTTAAAATTAAAATTAACTTTTTTAACATACACCAAATTAAATAACACATTTTTATACGGTCAATGGGGGTGGGGGGGGGCTTGAATCCTCTGCGCATATTCAAAGGGCAAGAAACTTTTGAAATGTAAACATTTTTAGAGTTAATGAGATGAGATTTGAGTTATTGAGGTTAGATTGTTTTATGTATTTTTACTATTGAAAACATTTATTAGTTATATAATATAGTGTTAATATTTTTTTTTATTCTTAGGCTGCATTTAGAACTAATCAACCTACTCGACTTGATGAAAGAATGTTTAGTATGTGTCAAATGAAAAGTTTACCATTAAACAATCTTATTCAATACATATATCCAGATTTATATCCTGTCTATGCTTTAGAAGAACAGGTAAAAATTGATTTAAATCAAAATATATTTTTATTATATAGTTAAGTAAAAGTAATAAAGTGTATTATTAATATTATCTTTTATTGTTTTTAGCCAAAAATAAATTATGAAAAGTTGACAGAAATTCCTCTTCCACCAGTCATACAATTGTCTGCAGAACGTGTTGAATCCAATGGTGTCTATTTAATGGACGACAGTGAAACATTAACAATATTTATTGGACATAGGTGTTCAGATAAACTTATACAGCAGTTATTTGGTTATGTAAATGCTAATTCAATGCCAGAACTAATTGTAAGTTATTCACAATATTTTAACAAATTTTATTTTTTAAAGTAACTAATACATTATACAATAAAAATAAGAATTAATAGTGTTTACCTTTTTTTACTATTATTTTATCATATTCAAATTATATTATTAGTATTATTAGGTATGCAGTTTAATTGCACTATGTGATATTGATATATAAATTAGTATTAACTCAATTAACAAAACATTTTGAAAACAGTATAAATAATAAAATTTTGTTTTTCTTTGCTGAAGGGTAAAAAGTATAAGTCGTTTAATATTTACCTCCTTATTAAGATATATTGAGATAAAAGTATTAAAATTATTTAATTGCATTATGCATAGAAAACTAAATAGTAATTACTAAATAAGTAGAATTGTTAAATAAAATATATTTATGTCTAATTCTGTACAATATTTATATTTTATTTATTTATTTCACAGACTACACTCGCTGAAGTGGACTCTAAACCTTCATATTTGTTACGTAGTTTTATTTCATATCTTCAACATTTTAAACCATATCCATTACCAATAGAAATTATAAAGTAAGTTATTATTTTGTAAATATTTTTTAATTAACAACTAGGATTGAAAAAGTGTTAAGATATTACATAATTATATTTGATGTTCCGTTCTAATTAAGTGCAGAACATTAGGAATTCTTTTTATTTTGGTTACAGAACAATATATATTAATGTGCACTAATATTTTATGTAGAATGAATTATTCCTATAGCTACATATTTATTATAGAGGTTATACTGTTTTATTATGGAAAAAAATAAGCATTGATATTATTAAACAATAATATTAAATAACCATAATAAATTGTTTATTTGTTTTCCCTATTTATATTTTATTAAAACTGAAAAATTTGTACAGTAGATTCTTCTTATGTCAAATTTCAAGGAAAACACAAAACAAATTGAGACGAGAGTTTTTTTTTTTTTTATTGAATTTCATATAATAATAATAATAATAATATTATTATAACATTCAATTTTCTGTCACTGGGATTTTTTATGGTTTCTGATAAAGTGTTGTGATTTGTTCATGTTTTTATCATGATAAAAATAATATTTGTGTTCTTGAGATAATAAAATGTGATTAATTTTATTCCAGTTATTGAAAGTAATATGCTATTGAGTGTAATCGTAGTTTCAAAGGGGTTTTCAATGTAGATCGAGATAACAAAAACTTTTAGATAGCAATGTTAGACATAACAAGAATTAACTATATTTATATTTTTCTTTTAAATAAGATTTGAAATATTTTCTATCACCTCAATTGATTCATGGACATATCCTTGTTAGATGTTTTTCTGGTCAAAATAGTTAATTATCAGTTTTAAATTGTTTATTCTTATAGTATTCTACATCATTGTATCTATGTGTGCATAATTTAATTAATAAAAACTAATAATTAATAATATCAAATTTTGTGGTGAATATCTTGAAGGAAAAAAATCTAGATTTCAATCTTACTAACAGAAATATTTTTTGATCACCATTAAAGTTTTTTTTTATATATATTATAGAGACAATGGACCACATAAATTACGTTTTTACAGTCGACTTATTGAAGATAAATTTGAATCTTCATTATCTTACTATGAATTTTTACAACGGCTCAGTCAACAAGTTCGATAATGAAGTATCAATGCTTAATATACATCTACTAAATGTTTGTTTATTCTCTTATATTTATTTATTTGAATACAATTATATCTAGTTAAGTTTGTATTTTGTATAATCCATAAATTATTTGTTATTTTCATTATTGAGTTTTAAAAATAGGTATGAAATTATTCAATTTATTATTCTTTGTTTTCTTTTTTTGTATATATATTAAAGAAAAAAATTTAAATACATTGTATAATGAATTTTAATGTTAAGTAGTATCTATACAGTTAAAATATTATTTAAATACTGTTTTAAGTGGTTATTGGCCTGCTATATGTCTGATATTATTTATTTGTAAAATTGTTTTATTAAAAATATGTTTATTCTATTTTACTATCTATATTTTTGTAATGCTTTAAAAGCTTATTCCAATACATTATATATGTTCCTGGTTATACATGTAAGTTAGTCAATTTTCTATGAATTTTTAAAATACCTGAAATAATGAAGCAAACTACTGATGAATATATTATTATGCATTTATTACAGTCTATAAATATAAGTATAAAATATTATTTAATGCCTGACAAATTAGACAAGTTTTTATCATTTAAATATAGTTTTTCAGTTTGGCAGTATAACTTAAATATGGTGAAATTTATAAGAGTTTTACTTAAGCGCATGATAAGTAAAATACTTAAATTGTACATGACATGAAATCGGATAAAATTTTTTCTAATAAATGGCATAAAATTAACTTCTTTTTATTTGGCATGAAATTTGAGCAGTAATATAATGCATATGATATATTTATATCGTCAAAAGGGTGGGAGGATTTGTTTAAACACCCGACACACCCATTCCCACAACACTTGCTACACTTTTGGGAAGAGGTGCTTAAATGAAAAATAACAATATTAGTTTAGTGTAAGTAGGTAATTCAAATAACATTAATTGTAGGGTTTTGAAACTTTTTGTGATTACCAACACATTTATCTTTTGCCTAAATATATTATTATTTGATATAGCCTATAGGTAAACAGTGAAAATTTTTAAAATACCTATGTATATTACCTAATTAAATTATAACAGAGACTGATTTTAATGTATCAACTTTACATGTAGTAAGTTCTTGGGTAGGCACCATTAATCTTTATGTTGATTTAACATTAAAGTAATATTTATTGTAATGCTTTTGGAAAATAATAATTATTATTTCAACCATATTCATAAATTTAAAAATACTAACTGTAAATTATTTTGATATACAATAATTCTTAGAAACAGAGCTGTCACTGTTTCTGCTTATAATCATTTTTCACATGAAAATATGTTTTAATATTATCATTGAAATCAACATTTAACACATCCACATACTGGCCATATTGCTTTTACTTAATGATGGTATTATAAGGATTATCTAACCAATATAATTTTATTTGCATTCATAGAAAAAATTATCAAACTCAATAAAATAGGTACCCATATGTTTTTTGTTTTTTTTTTTTTTTATTAAATATTGCATAGTCACGTTATGGATAAGATATAGCACCAATAAATGTCTTATCGACTTATATAGTTGTTGAATTCCATTTCCTAACTTTATTAACCGTCATATATATATATTTAAAGTATTACTTATTAGTTTTGTATGTTTAATATGTTTAATAATTATAAATATATTTTGTATGATTGATGGTACTTATAATCTTTAATATTATCATATATTTATTTTTACAAAAATTGAACAATCTAATAAAACTCTTCTTCCTTTTCACTTCTCTTTTTTCCTATTGTGTATAGTATAGATTATTCTTATTAGGTACTACTTTAATCGGTAATATTTTTAAAAACGTGTGCAAAATTTAATCGCCCCCGGGTGGGCTCGAACCACCAACCTTTCGGTTAACAGCCGAACGCGCTAGCCATTGCGCCACGGAGGCCGCTTGGGTTTTTTGGTAAAAAATAGGTAAAATAGATTATTTTTTTATAGAGGCATAAAAATATACTTATTGGTCGTTTTCTTATTATCCCATTAAGAGACCCGCATGTATTATATCATTTATATCTGTCTTACATACATACAACATAGCAAATTTTCGTTCAGAAAAATCCATTTTATGTTGTTAGCTTTAACATTTGAGTAAATTTACCTATTATCAAACTTAAATGTAAGAATTTTATGTAGGCAATGACATACCTACGCTTTTGTTAATATTATAATTTTAAAGTGAGTTATGACTATTATGAGCATTTTAAAGTTTCAATATCTTATATGGCTATAACTCAGCTTAAACTTAAAATATCAATAAAATCCTATGTCATTGCCTAGATAAGTAACAGTTAGTGCTGCAGAGACACCATTCCTTCGGTATCGGACATCGGTTGTTGTGTATAGTTCCGTTAGACACAAAATGCAGGAATTCTTCCTAACGATTTTATGCGTCTGTATATTTATTATTACTGTGTTGTTTGGTAGATCCAGTTGTTTTGTAGACTCCATTCGGTGGGCACGTGTTTGATTGCGTGAAAACCTACCTAACGATCGCATGCTTTCATTACGTTAAGTAACGATATTGGTAGTTAAAGATGACGAGCGGAGAAGGGGGGGGGGTTGTAAACTTTCGGATTTTCAAGTAAGCCTATAAGCTATATGTATATACGCATCTCGTCACACCAATGGAGAATGCCATTACAAACTTATTGACCTAGGAAATCCTCAACGGCGCGTAAACTTCGCATTTATGACGAAGTAACGTGTAAATAAATGGCTGAAGATGATTATGGAAAACTCATCGGATGCTTTAAGAGTAATTCTTGCACCTCGTTCGCGGATACTATACGACGAGAACCTCGTCGGGTATTATAGAATTATGTGAAAGCGCCGAGTTCTCGACCGGTGCTTTATTATACGATCAACCAAACCGGCTCCAGGACCGGAGACCGTCGAACATCTTCGACGTCCGTAATTGTTATTTATGTATATAATCCACTTGACGCTGGCCGCGAATTTCTATAGCGTACAAAAAATTATTTTCACAACATTTAATACAAAATGAATTATTTTTTATCTTAGTAAGACACAGATAAATTATAATATAAAATTATCAATGATCGTATTAATATTATAAAATAGATAAAAAATATATACGATTATTTCTGAGACAAAAAATAATAAATATATATTTATTATTTTATTATCTTGGCATCGCCGTTGATACGAATTAATCGGAATTCGCTTTCACTGTAATTTTTCACTCATCCGCGAAATCGTTTTTATTAGTTTTCTTGTATAATTTCGAGCATATACGCGTAAACGTTTTAAATTTATATTATTAGCATATTATCTTAAACCACCGCAGACGCCTGATCTGATCTACGTAGATGAACAAATTCAAACCTACGTACACATAATATAATATATGTGTCATGAAATAAATTATATTCACTGCAATAGTATCGGAGCAGTTATATAAAAATTTGTGTTTGACAAAAACAATCGAATGAAATTTGTAAACACAAATTATAATATTATATTACGATGATAAATATCGTACGTGAGATAATATAGCTTCAAACAGAAGTACAATTATTGAATATAGTATAGTATTTTATAAGTACTTGGTTGCAGGCAAACCTCAGTGCGTTGAGACACTTACGTAAATTACACGGACCAACGGAAGGATGTGTGATTACGGTCTGCAACTATTCTCCAACTATTTTACACATATTATTATTTATCTGTATAATAAAAAACCAGTAATTGGTAGTGTAAAAAGTTTGGCGACCCAAAGCGGAACGGTCGATGTGGGTGGTTGATTTAAAATTACTATCATAATGTAGTGAATTGATAGATCTCCGTTAACGTGAATTATTAAATTTAATTCTACGGTTGTGTATATTAGATGAATTTTTAAATAAAGAGATAAAAAAAAGATGATTACAGAATGTTCAAAATATTTGCGACCTATACGTCGTATTAGATTAAGGAATAAAAATCGTCGATAATTTTTCGAAATTACAAAACCTTGTTAATAAAACAAACAAAAATAACAATGTCATCATGATCTTATTTAATATTTACGTTACTACCAAGCAATTGAGCAGGAATGGCCAACGTACGAAAGCACATAGTTTTTATCAAACCGATTTTAAAAGATTTAGTATATATTTCAGTCATACACTGTATACAGTACTTTTTCTAACATAGTGTACATTTACCGTATATATCTAATATGTTACTATTATCTTCACAGGTCTTAAATTTTAAAAAACGAGACGGGTCAGTGGTCACGGACGATGCGCTCGGCGGTATGTCGCCCGTGTGAATGATCTCTGGAAACTTCCTGACGACTGACCACTCTGGCGGCCGGACAGGCGCCCGGTTGCTTTGGTGACGTGGAGCGATGACGAACGTCAGCGGCGTTAAGCCCTCAAAAACTAGACGCTTCACGGGGTCTGACGGTGTGTGACTCCGCCACTCAGACTGCTATCCGATGGTGGATGCGGTCAACTACTAGAGTACTAGACGCCAGTGGCGAAACCCCGGAAGAGTACATCCGATTGTGGCGCGATTTATTTATTTCTTTTCCGCCACGAGGAAATCCGTATTCGACCTCGGGTGGTCACCGATTCCACAGCGTCGTAAAATCTTCGTTAGCTACGCGCTGCTTCGGTTTGCACCGTCTTTTTGTCCGCACCGCCGCCCAAGCTGTCTGGCCTATAGTCTTATGGTCATCGCATCGAGAGGCCCCCGAGCGAATGCGTTTGCGAAACTTGTCTGGTTAACTATTATATATAATATAAATGTATAAATAACTAAAAAATTACTAGTTCAAGTTTTGTATCAGGTAAAAGATAAATTAAAAGGTTTATAAAAATTAATCACTAAATAACGTACAGTAAAAAAAAAGAATCTTATTTGAAAAAAAGAATTTTGTGTCATCACATAACGCTCCTTGAATAGTGAAAAAAATGTCAACATTTTGAAAATACAATTTTAAGTAGGTATTTATTATTAAATAAAAACAATTGTGTGTGTATGAACACCGCGTATATTATAATTTATAAATTATAATAATACGAACGGTTTTTACTGTTTAGGCAAGATAGTCGTATTATACTCGTATAT